GAAGAGCTGAGAGGAGCTCCCTCCGATGACAAGGTCACCTGGCTGTTAATTTTCATGTGGGATTTGGAGGGCTTCAATCCTCTTGCAAACTATGTGGTGTGTCTTGCATTCAGTTTGGGGCAGAAACACCAGCCATAAGAACAGCAGACATAGCAATGAAAAGATCATGGCAAATATAAAAATGATTTTTTTTTTCCTCCAAAGTAAAGTTCACTGTCCCAGTCTAATTCATTATCTTAGCTTTGTCATACCAATCCATCTTCAACAACTCTTCCTGTTCCTACCCACTACCCATGGAACAAAGAAAAGAAAAGAAAAGAAAAGAAAAGAAAAGAAAAGAAAAGAAAAGAAAAGAAAAGTTGGCAGCTTTCCTCTCCCAATATCTGTCAGGTCAAGTTCTGAAAGGCATAGATCTGTTGTATTTCTGACTGTGAAAGTGTGCACTGAACATTTGTGCAAACTTAAGCAAGAAAGAACATTGCCATGATTTGAGATAATTATATACTGTAGTTCACAATAAGCTCCCCAAAGTCTTCTGATCAGAAGAAACATGGCAACTGAGGAAAACATACTTAATGGATCTTGTCTCACATCTGTTCCTCATTGAGACAGGGAGGCTATTTGTTTTTATAATATCTAGGAAGAAAATACAGCCAAAAAATGAATATTTGGAACAAGGTGAAAAGCATCTTTGTGATAAAATAACAATGAATAATGTTTTGCATTCAGATGCTTATGAAAGCATGTGAAACTCTCAGAGGAATTCCAGGGTAGACTCCGGAAAGTGGTCCTCCACAGAGCCCCCTTGCTTGGACAATGAGTATACCCTGCCAAATATTATAGATCTAACATCTTTATGAAAAATGGAGGTTGTACTGAATTCAGTGACTCTGGAAATAAATATTAGTGTTTTATAATATTAAATTTAATTCATTGAAAAAGTTAATCGCATAGTTTCTGAAAAGCACTTCAGTGATTCATTAGCAAAGTGTTATATTTGGTTGTTTTAATCAAGGTTTCAACTTATTTCATTTGATCATTTATAAAACATTTTACTTATTTTTGACCAGTGAAAAAAATATAGTTTTAAACTTTATATAAAATATTTATTTATTTATTTTATATATGTGTTTATTGGTCTTTCTGTATTTTATACTCTGTATTTCTGTTTTATTGGTTTGAGACTGTAAATAAATTCAATTCAAAACCTATACACAAGTTCAAATAGATTTCTTTGAAAACATGAGTAACACATTTGGTAAATGACTATGCATCACTAAATTGAGAGAAGGAAAGCTGTACTAAGAAATGTGTATTTGTAATATTTCTTCTGTCCCTCACATAAAAAAAGTATCTTGTGCGGATTAGTTTGGATGAAGTCTAAAGTATCTTTAGAAGCTCATATTTCAATGAATATGCATTTTAATTGCTTTATATTTACAAAATTCAGAAATTGAGCTGTAGCTCATGAAAGTTGATACCTTAAAGTAAAATGTATTGTTCTCAAAAGGTGCCAGCAGACTCTTTCTGGATTTTGGGTACTCTAGGCCCTCACGGTTTTCTTCCTACAATGTTTTTAGTTGTCAAGAAGACTAATAACTTGATCAATGCCAATGCCCAGACTGATTTGTTAATTTTGACATATAAAATCTGAGAATACTTGCTTTTTGAAAGCTACCATGCCTTTCTAGAGTTGGTTTATAGAAAACATGAATACTGAGCAGTGTCATTTATGTACATGTCTAAGCTACCAAATTAGAATTGTTTGTATTCACAAATGAAAGATGATTCTGTTTTAAATTGTATCACTATAGTATGACAACAATGCATGAAGACTTCAATCAAGAATTTATATATGTCAATTGCATGGCCAAAAAGTAAATTTGATTCATTTTAGGACTGAGCATTTACAGATTTATCACTGTCTTAGTGGAATATTTGCAACAATAAGAGAAATATTTGTGATCAGAAACCTGTTAGTGATTGCATTGCATCCTCATGTTTCAGAGGTTGGAAACCATTCCAGGTTGTAAAGATATAAATGTTTGATATGTTGAATATCAATATCTGAAAACACATATCTGGTCTTAGAAAAGAGAGATAACTAGATGTTCTAAGACGGAAAGAAGAAAGGAAAAAACAGAGGTTGGGGGAAGACCCAGGAAAGCGTCTATTTCATTTGCTCTATTTTTATTGGCTTCCACACTAGTTATAAATATATTTGAGTGATCTACATATGCAGGTAACATACTCTGTGCAATGTTTATTTTATTTTTTTCCCAGTCATACAGTAAATTGATGGTACTCAAATGATCCATTGTGGAGAAGCTACTATCAAGGAAGGGAAGAATGAGATTTCTGTTTTACCCTGTGTGGCTGAATGTAGCAGAAAGAAAATTGAGCTATTACTCTATGGAAGTCAGGAAACCATATTCCTATCTGAGGTTTTTAGCTTTTTCAAAACACAGCAACAAAATAACCTCTCCCTATCTGTGATTAAGCAGCTTTAGATTGCTGCTGGAAATGGATCCCACCCCACGCTATCCCATGCCCAATTTATATATCATGCCAAGTGTCAATTTTTAATTACAGAATATGTCAACATTTCATGGAAAATATGATGTTCTACTTGGGAAGTGTATGCTACTTCCATTTTCAAGAACAAAAGTCTAATGTCAAATAGGTCATTTGTACAGCAAATGTTGTTCTTTTCCTCATGGATTTCCACTGCACCTGAATTTAATACCTTTTCATTCAAAAACTTCAAACACCCTTTTTCCCTTGCATGAGGATGACAAAATACGTAGAATGGAAATGGTTTCTCCTTGTCTTTTTCCTTCTCCTTTTCTTGCTCTTTGCTGAACTTTGGCTTGTTGGCTAAGCTTGTTGGGTCACAGTTTTCATGCAGCTGTAGAAATATCAGAGGAAGCCAGCAACCACATAATGAATACAAGTATTCTCAACATCATTTACTGCTGTATCTTTACATCATTTCTTTGTTTATCATTTCTTAGCACGCATATCCTTAGATTTCTTCCTGATGAAGGATCAAACATCATTAAATCTATCATCTCCTTACTTCACCATGAAAATGAACTAAGGCTACTCATGGCTGTCATTTTTCATGCTTATCAGACTTGATTGAACTGATATAGAACTATTTGAGAAACTCTAAGGTATATCTTTACATTTTATTTATGGAGTATTTACTAATAGGATTTCTATCAATAACATAAGCCAAAACTATTCTTCAAGCAGAAGAGATTCTTCATGTTTATTTAACATATTCTGAATTGTTGAGATGTTTCTTGGTACATGTTTGAAGTGAAAGGCAAGTTTACCACATTAGGAACTTATATTGAAACTTTGTATCAATGAAATCGGAAATTTAGGTCTAACTGAATTGTCAAGATACTATTTGGTAAAGGTTTGATGTTGTGTATATTTTGTAAAAATTTATATGTCCATATTCTCTTTTCATCTCCGTAATTGTCCAGGACATGTCATTAAAATTTTATGGAATGATTTTGTTACATGCTGTATGCCCACTGTAGATTTTGGTCACTCTCCTGTCCTTTAACGTCCAGTACATAATTTTAAATGTGTCATACCGATAAAGAGGGTCAAATAAATATAACATTATTCATCAGTTTACTTCTCTAATTTCCCAATTTCTTTACTTTCTCCATATTTCCATCTCTTCTGGCTACAGCTCAGGAACTAATTTTATATAATTGCAGGATTTCTTAACTCAGCTCCCCCTGTGATATTCTGAAGCAAAGGAAAATTCCTCAACTGAAAAAATAAATTAAACAACCTGACACATACAGTTATTTGATCACAGCGCTTGTGGGTTTATCGTGTGCTTCAGTTTTAGGCATGGCTAGTTTGGGTGAACAACCTGGGGAAACTGTCTATTGATAGCTGATTCCTAGTCTCCTTTTAGTACCAGTTATGCAAAAGAGTATTTAATACTCCTGTCTATTGGGAAACAAAGATCATGCAATATCTAAACTATAACCACAATATTTCTGCTTAGGTTTGTTTGTTTGTTTGTTTGTTTTTAAAAGGCAGGAAGACAATAATTTCTATGGAAACTGAACTATTGCTGAATTGTTCTAAGAGATCAGTTATTCCTATTAACATTGCTTTGTAATCCACTTCAGTGTAGTTTTAACCAACTGTTTTTTTTTCTTTAAGAAGGAAAGAAAAGAACAGAACAGAAAAGAAAAGAATGGAACTCTATCAAGAGAAAGAGCATGAGCTTAAGCGGCCTTTAAAAGGCACTTCTGTATCAGTATCATTTTTCCCCATTTTATTTCCTTTCCACTATGAAGGAAATTATTTAATTGAATAGTCTGGATTGATGAGATCACATTTTTAAATAATAGTTCAGCAATATCACAAGATCATATCAGAAGATGACGGGTTTGTATGTTCTATTTCATCATTATCAACAAGTCTCTGAGATTATAATGGTTAGGACCTGCTAGGAAACTGGTTGATAAGCAGTTAAAGCCCCTCATGCCTCGTCAGAAAGCTTTGGAACTGGAATTCTATTGGAGAAAAAAGGCAACTATGTTAAGCCCTGATATGTCCATATCACAAGGGAACTTCGGGAAAAAATGTAGTGCTTAATCTACTGACTTTGCAAAGATAGAACCAAGCTGTTTCACTCTATCTTTCAAAGCATCTTTAACTGCTTTATTTCTAAAGCTATAGATAATTGGGTTGAGCAAGGGGGTTACCACTGTGTTGA